GTAGGATCGTTAAGTCTTATAAACCAGACCCTACGAAGGAGACGCGTGGGAATATTAGTTCGAAGGGTACTGGTTGCCAGTTTCATATATGTATTAAGGAAGTATGGCAAAAGAATGGTCCAAACACATGGGTCATAGTGGGAGTGACAAGTCGTGAAACTAGAGCTAATAGAGGGTTTCACAACCATGAAAAGGTGTTGTATCCAGAACATCACCGACACAACAAACAGTTTAGTGAGGCTGAAAAAGAGAGGTTAAGATTAATGAGGAAGGCGGGGGTGAGACCAAATCAGCAGAAGACGACACTCAATACTGAAGGGGGTGTGCATCATGATATCAAACAGATGTACAACATAAATTCCAAGACAAGATTGGATGAGATGGGTGAAATGGATGCGATACAGTTTGCGCTTCACGCAGCTGAACAGCGTGGGTACCATATCTGTTTGCAAAAGGACTCTAATAATGTGCTCACTAATCTGTTTTTTGCGCACCCGACGTCCATTCAGATGTTGCATGCATGGCCCTGCGTCATCCTCATTGACTCGACCTATAAGACCAACAGGTACGGCTGGCCATGGGTTGAGATTATTGGGGTTACTCCAGTCAAGAAGAATTTCAACATTGCATGTGCAATTATTAAGCAGGAAACAAAGGAAACATATGAGTGGCTGCTGCGATGTATTAAAGGGTTGCTCGGTGATACGGTTCCGAATGTCATTGTGACAGACAAAGAAGGTGGTTTGCTTGCTTCTATTCCTGTGGTCTTCCCTCTCCCACATACTGTCCACCTACTATGTTTATGGCACGTCAACAACTGTGTGAAGCAAAAGTTTGAAATATTACTGGGTGGAATTGCAAAAAGAGAGGTAGCACAAGCGGTATGGAAGAAATATTTAGACAAAGCTGCATGGAGTTGGACTTAGGAGGGTTTTCTTCAAAAGATTAATGAGTTTGAGAGGGTCTGGACAGAGAAGAACATAAAAATGGTCGACTACGTGCGAGGTGAGTGGTTGCCTCATCAGACAATGTGGGCAAAGTGCTACACGAACCATGTGTTTCATCTTGGTAACACGAGCTCGAATAGAGTTGAGTCATCTCACTCTTCATTCAAGACTTTCCTTGTGTCTGGTAGAGGAGCGATCGACACTTATTTTGCGAAGAACCACAACTACATGGAACATCAGTTTCTGGAAGTGGTGAATGAACTGCACAAGTCACTGAACCGCAATCTGAGTAGGGCAATTGAGCCTCCGTGCACGTTTTTGAGGAGGGTCGTTAGTTCTGAGGCAATCAAACTGATGTTAGATGGGGCGGCGGAGTTGAAGGACAGTTGTGCGTGTCATTTTCAGATGACACATGGGCTCAAGTGTGCTTGCCAGATTGTTCAAGCTAAGGAAGAAGGACGTCAATTCTATGCTCAAGAGTTGCATGTATTTTGGCGGACTTTGGATTATAACAACCCCCCACGTCCACAACAAGTCAGTGATGAAATTGAGCTTCAACGAGAACACTTTAGGCGTCTTACTGTTGAGGTGGAAGAAAGAGGTCCTGAAGCAGTGAGACAAGCAAGAGATGCCCTATTCTATGGGCTTCACCTAGCAGAGGACAATGTGAGGGAACCGGAAGTGAATGAGAATCCGAGAGGACGGCCTCGAACAAGCACCAGTCGCATTCGTTCATATAATGAGCGGTCTCGTTCAAGGAGTACTGGGCCTGGTTCGAGTGGAGGTAGGGGGCGATCGAGTGGAGGCAGATCCCGATCGAGTGGAGGTGAATCCGACGAGCATGATACAGGTGAGTAATTGGTTTAATATTATAGTCCATCTAGTAGTAATTGGTTTATGTTTGTAAATTTTTTCCAAGTAACATTGACCGTTTGGTATATTTTGTAGATTACTCATCCCAGAGCCCCCCAGGGCAATATTCTTACCCTTACATCGATGAGCTTTTTCCAGAGTTTGTTCGACCTTTGCTGGTAGGCGATTTCAACCCTAGTCCAAACGGCCATTGTGGTTTTAGGGCACTTTCTCATTGTATTTATGGGGATGATAGTCACTATCTGCTCATGAGATCAACGATTGTCCAAGAAATCCAACAACAATTTTGGAAGTACGAGAACTTGTATAATGGTGGTCCACTAGCTCACATTGACCGCATCAATTGGCTAGAGGGGGGGTTCCGCACCACCGGGGCGATGGATGGATTCTGAGGACTTGTTCGTGTTTGCCACCATCTACAACATCGCAGTCATGGTCTTCTCATACCAGGTGTTTGATGTCAATAATGCAAACCGTCCACTACCCAACCGCTACGATGATGCCTATACTGTATTGCCTATTGATGCGGAACCAGGTACTTTGCCACCAACCATGTTCTTATCATTGCACTATGTGAACAACCACTACATTCGATTGTACTTCAACCAGGATCAGTTTCCTATACCCCCTCCGCATCCACTTTGGCATGGGCTAGCAAATCCTAATGTGGTGGAGTGGGGAGCTATTCTCGAGGTTGGACAAAATTTGTTTGCGAGCCTTGGTGGTCGGCAGCGAGCCAGGCAGAGAGACCCCCGAAGAGCTAGGGGAAGGGGTAGGGGTAGGAGCAATGCATAGTGTTGCAATGCTCTATTTATATGTTGTTGTTTTTCTAGTTGTATTTTTAATGACCCTAGTGTCATTATGAACTTATGGATTTCATAATGGATTTCATTATCTACCCTCGATGTTTTAATCATGAGTGTGCAAAAATCCGATCCAAACATAAGTAGTCAAACATCTGATCTAAACATAAGTAGTCAAACATCCGATCTAAATGATCCAAACATCAAAACAACTAAAAATCCCCTGGAGGGCGGAGTCCCTGAGAAGCCCAGTACTCAGTCCACACATCCTGCACTCCGTGCAGTGCTCTGTAGGCTCGTCGAGAATGCTCAAGAAACTCCTCCTCGGTCCCTGCTGCTGCTCGAACCGCAGGTGCAAACGTGTACAAAAGGCCGCGAGCACGCTGCATAAAAAAACAAGAACAATTTTTAGTTTCATGCTAAGTATATTTATAATAGAGTAACGATATAGTGGTCAAATCTTATCGCTGTGGAGTCAACTAGTCGGTCTGCATCTCCATCATCCGGTAGGACTCTACAATGAGAGTGCGCCACGAACCAGTCAAGATAGTCGATCGTAGTCTCATATGGATACGTCGTCCACGGCTGAGAGTACATGTCTATATGAACCATGTGGGATAGCAGAGCATCCAATGCAGCATCAAAACTCTCAGGAATCCGAATGACATATCCACCAGGTGCCTCTGGTCGGTCTGCTCGCTGAGGACGCGAAGGGGCAGGCGGTACCATCTGTTGGTATCCAAACTGTCGGAGGCAACGGGCTGGATCATAGAACTCGCCTATGTCAGCGAACCGGATGACTCTAGTGTACAAAGAGCGACGCACTGCCTGATGAGGCCTTCAATGGAAAGGTGTCCAAAACACATCAGAAGGCGTCAAGCTGTCAAGAGCTCGACGGTAGAACGCCAACCTCACACTGGGATCAGCCACAGAACCAGGTGTTGGCTACCCAATCCATCGTGAAGCCCAAGCATCATCAGGTCCAACGGCGGGTGGCTCGAAGTGAGATGGCCTGAAACCCGGAAAGTACTCGTAGATCCAACACTGCAGAAGTGTGAGACAACCAGCCACCCCCTGGCACCAGCACGAGACGCCTGACCAAGGTATCTGTACAACCAAGCAAGTGTACCTGACGCCCAACTATACTGATCTAACTCCTCCAACTCGTCCAAAAATAAGTTCACCACCGACCAAACCCTGTCTCTACTCTTGTCCACAAACAAAGTGGACCCCAACAGCAACAACAAGTACGACTGCGCCTCTGTCACATGTGTCCCATGGCTCTGCAAGTATCTGGACGCCATCTCTGCAAGAAAACCACCCTTCTCGTACCACTTACCCCTATTATTATATCCAGGGACCTCCGAACGACCACTCAACTGCTCCTATTTCATCCCAAGAAGCGCACACAAACCCGCCTCCGGATGGTCAAGCTGCGCAGAACTCCTACTCATCAGTCGTCCCTCAACAGTAATCTGCAGTAAGTACTGAACATCGTGGAGGAGGATTGATAACGATGTAATTGCACATGTTTGCGCCCCTAGTTCTTATCCATTTGAGGGGCATAGTTGTGTGCGTTTGGCCTATTTTACGCCGGGTTGTGCTATTTTGTCATGTTTCAGGTCCCAGGTGTCAAAGGCAAGGCTAAGCGCGAGTTTCGGGGCATTCGGAAGTCATTTCGGTGAGCTGGAGCCAAAACACGGGCAGACCCAAGGCATTACACGGCCGTGTACTGCTGGCCGTGCTTTTTATGCCGAGAGCAAATTCGGTTTGGCAATTTCAGTTGCAAACACGGACACCAAAGCACGGCCGTGTTCCACCAAAGCACGGCCGTGTCCAACGCGAAGCACGGCCGTGTTTCCACCAGCTGCTGGCCGTGTAATTAAGCCTGGCCGAGGCACGGGCGGAGTCAGGCAAAGCACGGCCGTGCCCTCGACCGTGCTTTGGCCACTGATGCTTTTAAGCAGATTTTCAGCCACAACTCAAGGGGATTCGAGTTTTTGAGAGAAAGAACGACTTCTAGAGAGAGAAAGTGACGAGCAAGAGTTCCCAAGTGCCCTAGATTGATCTTCAACACCATTGGAGGCCAGCTTGAGCTTGGAGAAGTGCCAATCAACGTCCAGAAGCAGGAATCCATCCTTCGCAGTATGAATTCCGTGTCTGATTCTGCTTTTGCTTTCTTCTCCATGGAGTAGTTCTCCCATTCATCTGGGTATGGAGAACCCTAGATTTGTATGTTAGGCTTTGATTGTATGAACCCAAGTACTGATTCTGTGATTGATTATATTCGATTGAGGTTTTAATGATTGAATGACTTGAATCCTGATCAAATTCCTGTTGTTTCTGCTTTAACCTAGAATGAGAATATCTGCCTAGGTTAATAGAGTATCCTTGATTGAAGGTAGGGAGTTGGTGACTTTAGTCGAGGAGCCAACTCACTATTCTGTACCGGATTTACTCCGGTAGTGGAGGTTTTGTTCTTAGGGCCTCAATCTGTCGACTCCGGTGGAGGTTAGTCGCCCGCTAGAGAGTCAGATTGAGAGGGTCTGAAGACCTTTAGTCGAGACTTCAGGCTGTTTAAGAACCTTCCGCAGTATAACTGGCATAGAAACTGAACTTGGTAATTACAATCCGGCTTAACTGCAGTCTAGGGGGAACCATATCCGGGTGACCTCTCTTAACTTGAATACAACCGTTTACCTGCTTTGCTTTGTTTGTTTGGTAGTTTAGACTTGCATTCCAGTTTCATTGCTAGATAACACGAATTCACTGAGTAGTCATCATATCTAGGACCCGGGTTGATAATTAAACCCAAACCCGCTATACTACGCTTTAGGAAGTGGTTACACTTGGCCAATTCCTAGGGTGACAGTAGAGTCGAGTCAAGGATCGTCATCTCTCCAAAAGGCAAGTGGAAGGTGTTCGTGTCTGGCTGCCACCTCTCCACAAAAGCTGAGATCAAAGCCTCGTCAATCGCTATCTTGCGGAACATAGAGTAGATCAGGTGCTGGAGACCTGACTGCTGAACCAGAACCTCCGCCTCAACATGACTAAACACGTAGCTACTCAGATAAGCAACCGACGATGTACGGCTGTAGCAACTGATGACCCCTCGATCTCCAACCCCCGTCCAAAGCGCATAGGCAGCGTGGCCGCGAAAGCTCCTAATGAGGCTAGGATCCGTAGGTCCACCAGGACACTCACCAACAAGCTCCCACGGTGGAGGACCACTCGAACGTCCTCCCCTACTCCGTCCAGTCCCCGAGCTCTCTTTCTCCTCACGAGCAGGTGGTACGAATCGCCCAGCTCGGTCCCTATACATAGCAGGACGTGATGTTGCCGTACAAGACGGCCCTCGTCCATGTCCACGCGTAGGTGGAGGGACCTCGATATCCTCATCATTATCGTCCTCATCAAACTCAGTCGAGACCACTCTCGATGCAGCACCTGGGTTCCTCCCATGAGAACCAGACGCCCGTGATGCCGAACGAGCAACTACAGTAGGAGCCTCTAACTCATCCTCCCCTACATTTTCCTGTGACTGATGTCCAATATCTCGAGAGCGCTTCTTCTCCTTATTCTTCCTTCGTGCTGATGCATCAACAACCCTACCATTGAATCTATACAACTCACTCCCACCCGCATCACCCGCATCATCCATATCTAATTATCTACAAATTTACACAATATCATACTTAGATGCGCACTAATTAATTAAATTTCTATTAACTAATGTACTATTAACATTAATTGTTAAATAATCACAAATTAATTAATTTTCTATTAACTAATGTACTGAATATTAACATTAATTGTTAAATCAATTCTTAATTAATTAAAATTCTATTAACTAATCTAAGTAATTAAACATTCATACGCCTATTACAAAAAAAAAAAATTTATACACCAACTTAAATAAATATTAACACTAATTGCTAATTTCTATTAACTAATTAAGTAATTTTTTATTGACTAATTAATTATCATATTAAATTAAATACAAAAACTGGCCGGGCCGAAAGATTTTTGCGGCCGGTGCGCCGCCGGGCCAAAAACAGTTTGCGGCCGGCCGAAAAAAATTTGCGTCCGGAGCGATGTCGGGCCGAAAAACTTTTGCGGCCTATGCGCCGCCAGGCCGAAAAACATTACATTTGCGGCCGGTGCGACGCCCGGCCGAAAAATTCTTTTGGCCCGACGTCACTCCGGCCGCAAATTTTTTTCGGCCGGCCGACGAACACGCCGTCGGAAATTTTTTTTAGTTGGCGGCAAATAGCCATTCACTTGATTTAATGGTAAGTAAATAATGATATGTAGTGCTTAAGAGGGAAGATGAGACCTTACATTGTTTATTAATATGCATCTTAGTTTCATAAATTTTACATCATTAAAAATTTATGTGCTGAATAGAAACCTATCCAAGTTTGGAGCCATTGTAAAATGTAAGTTATGAGGCAAATAAAAAGTCTCAAGCAAGGTTGTCAACCCGCGGGTTGACCCGGACCCGGTGAAGCTAGTGTGTCAAGGGTTAATGGGTCACCCGGTTTAGCCCGAAAATATGGAAAGAGTTATTATATTATACTTATCCTGATAAATTATATCAAATCTCATCTAACATATGAGTTATAACATATAATATTACACTAAAATAACATTTCGTACTTAGATCCAGCATATAGTGAAAATTCACACACAATTATATAACAACAATATTCAAATGTTCAACTTAGGATTCCAAAGATTGAGTTAGGCGAAAAGAAAATCGGAAAATAGGCGCATTTCGCAAACCAAATAAAAAAATGACACAATTTGACCTCTAACCCGGTACCTTGTAGCGGTCGACTCGGTAGGTGCGTGCAGCTCGTTTTTCTCACCGGGTCAGAGTCAAAGTGGGTCGACCCAGGTGTCAACCCGCGGGTTGATAACCTACTCTCAAGCATCCACATGCTTGCAAAATAAATCTATATTATCAAACATAAAATCATATCTTGCATAAGAAAAAAGAACAAAAAGGTAGTAATTCGATAATCAATATAGGAATCAATATGGAAACAATATCTAACCAAGAGAAGAGGAAGCGAAACACCACAAATTGTTGTGTATAGATTCCACTCACGATATTTCAAATTGAAAAATATTATAAAAATTATTAACCAATAAAAGGGAACGATTAAGGGGAAAATGCATCAATTTGAACCTAAAATGAGAGGAATTAATATCCTACACCATCATATATAATGATATATCATATCCCAGAACATCATAAAAAAACTATCTAAATGAAAAAGTATACTAAATTGAATCCAATGTAAAAGTAACGATGAAGATAGATATTATATCCACCTAAGGAATAATAAAGTAAGCCATGTTTCTTAGAGACCGCTCTCGATAGAACCACTCTATTATAAAACCCATTTCGTTAAACAATTGCATCATATAGAGTTTTAACTTAAATTGGAAGTGCTTATAATTAGCTATTTCAGCTCATGAATGAATTAATTATATCATTTGGTAAAAGAAAATAATTTATAAACTTGAGAGTTATTTCATTTGTTGTTAAATCATTTGAACTAAAGTATGAAATTGCTTCAGAACCGTTATTTTATTCATTATTATTAAAATTGCTATTTTTATTATAATGTCTAAGCATGTCTAGGCGAGTTAGGAGATAGACAAATGCCTAATGACCGTCGTACGCCTAACGTGCTGCTGAACCTCAATAATTATAGCAAACTTTGAGTGCATCTTATAAATTTGATCACTTCTATTTTGGTATAATTGATTAAATCAATAAAGCGATCAATCAAAGAGTCTTTCTTTAAGATTTTGATAAGATGTCCCCTACTGCACAATTAGTATGACTAAATTGTACTAAGATAATCATGTATTGAATTTTGAATCGATAGCGCAAAAGATTGTACTAACTCAAGTAGATTTTTAGCTACTCAGTACTTCATATTCGCATGTAGATAGCTATTTCGAAGAGTTCGAATATTGATTGAGTTTGTTGAACTTTACCTAACGAAACTATGATATCAAGCGCAATATATTATGCTTTTAGGAGAAATTGGGAGAATATGTTGGTGATATCAAACCTAACATGGATACCATTGAATTTAAGTGAAAAGCAACATTTATGTTTAATAGATTAGACATGAAAAATATATATAGCATTCTCATAAGTTGGTATGAAGAAGTGAATAATTAGGAATTGAAAGCTAGAAACAAAACAAATGCTTAGGGCATAGCTAGGCATGAGTGTGTTACATTAAACTCTCTAAGAAAAAGCAAGTAACCATTAATAGTTAGTTGTGGATATTGAAATAGTTAACTATGATGAATACTATATACTGGTGTTAATACTTAGAACTTAGCTTGAACATTGCATCATGCTGATAAAAATTATTTCATTAATTACATTATTGAAATAAGGAGTCGTATGGAAGTTTTGATTGTTTTTTTAGATTGTTAAAATAAATACATTTTTCATAATACAATACATATGTTTTTATTTTTGTTCATACAAAATCGTGAATTATTTGCTTGATTTGACTAAATTATCATTCAAATTGAATGATTAAATTTTTTTTAATTTTAGCATAGACTGTCGAGATAATTGGTATCGGTGTTTGTCATTTTTATTTATCTTGAAATGTATAGTACCAGTGTCCTTATATCGTCATTGAACACTTCATTCAACACTTCAATTCAATGCGCGATATTCCAACCAATGATATTAGTGTTGAGATTTTAAGATTATCCTTCATTTATAAGTTGGAAAAAATTATAAATTAATTATTAAAATATGAAAATAGAAGTATCAAACTCCACAAAATACTTACAGGAGACTTAGCGGGCTAGCTAACCGTGATAGAAAAGTACTTTGTTTTTCATAATCTTAGCTTCCTCTATGTTTTGTATTATTAAAGTACAACAAATGAGTCTAGTCTAATTGGTTACAATTCTTGTCTTTGGTGGAAGGGACAATGGTTCAAATCCTAGCATTAATATCTTTTTATATGAAATAAAAAAATGATTGTGTAGACGAAAATACCCTTCCTACTTTCACTCTCGCTGTAGGAAATTTGAAATGGAGCAAATCAAACTCTTTAAAATGTATTATAAGTAGTCTAGACTAGACTAGACTAGATAAGCGGGTGGGTTAATTTGAGATCAAAACCTTGTTGAGATGAAGCCAGTCAATGCCTTGATGGACGGAAGAAAATCAAGGGAAAGGAATATCAGAATCAAGCAACTGAGAATATCACATACAAGAAGAAGAGGAAGTATTTTCAATTGATAGAGAAGTTTCCAAGCTTGTGACCAACGACTTGCGTGTGATGGGTTAAAACATAGAAAAAGGTGCTATTGGATCTAACCCTTCTATCCAGAACGATATGTTAGTAGATGGGTTAAAACATAATCTGATTTCTATTAGCCAATATGTGGTAAGGAGTGCAGAATTATATTCGAACCAAGTTGCTGTTATGTTGAAAACATCAAAACAAAACACATTATTTTCACAGGAAAGCGAAATGGAAAGATTTACACTATTGATCTGAATGACAAAGATAGTTTCAATGAAATGTGTTTGATCAGTCTAGAGAAAAATGTGCAGTTAGAGTGGCATAGGCGTCTAGGGCATGTGAGTGTCTCTATCCTGTCTAAACTAGCTCGACTTGGTCTGGTCAGAGGGCTTCCAAAGATTAATGAAAAATTAGAGTTCTTTTGTGATGCATGCGCTAAAGGAAAACATACAAGATCCAGCTTCAAGAGTAAAACTGTCATTTCCACTTCCAGACCCTTAGAGCTACTTCACTTAGATATTTTTGGACCAACAATCGTTGTCAGCTATGGGGGGAAATCCTATGCGTTTGTTGTGATAGATGATTTTTCAAGATTCACGTGGGCTCTTTTTCTATCTAAAAAGAATGAAGCCTTCACCGCTTTTAAAAGCTTGATAAAACATCTTGAAAATGAAAAATCAGTCAAGGTTGCTAGCATTCGCAGTGATCATGGGGGACATTGCAATGATCTTGGTATCTTTAAATTATACCAAATGGACGTTAAAAGTGCCTTCCTAAATGGGGATCTAAAAGAAGAGGTGTATGTGGCTCAACCACCAGGTTTTGAAAATCACCAGTTTCCCAATCACGTGTATAAATTAAATAATGGCCCTGTATGGTTTGAAATGGGCTCCTAGAGCCTGGTATGACAAATTTAGTTCTTTTCTTCTGGAAAATGGATTTCGCAGAGGGCTGGTAGATAAAACCTTGTTCATTAAACAAACTGTGAAACATATTTACTCGTTCAAGTATACGTGGATGACATAATCTTTGGTGCCACCTATGAAACCTCGTGTAAAGATTGTGAAACTAAAATGAAATGAGTGTTTGAGATGAGCCTAATGGGTAATCTAAACTACTTTCTGGGTCTTTAAATTAAGCAAACTCCCGCTGGAATTTTCATATGTCAAACGAAATATCTTGTGAACATGCTTAAATGGTTTGACTTTGGTAACTTAAAGTTTTCTCCTACTCGAATGGCTTCGTCCATCAAACTGGATAAGGATGAATCAGGGGCTGTTGTGAATGACAAGTTCTACAGAGGACTAATTCGGTCATTACTCTATCTCACAGCAAATAGGCCTGATATCATGTTTAGCGTGTGTGTGCGCTAGGTTTCAAAGTGCTCCTAAGGAGAGCCATCTGTCTCCAGTCAAGCGCATCTTCAGATATCTTAGTGGAACATCAGGACTAGGGTTGTGGTATTCATGTAACTCTAGCCTAGAACTCATAGGGTATTCTGATTCTGACTATGCTGGAAGCATAGTAGATCGAAAAAATACATCAGGAACTTGCCACTTCCTAGGTACTTCTCTTGTGGCTTGGTTCTGTAAAAAACAGAATTCGGTTGCTCTTTCAACTGCTGAAGCTGAATACATTGCAACTGGGTGCTGTTGTACTCAACTTTTGTGGATGAAACATCAGCTGCAAGATTATGGTCTTCAGTTGGGTTCTGTTCCCATTCTGTGTGACAATACCAGCACAATTAATATGACCAAAAATCCCGTTCAACACTCTTGAACCAAACATATCGATATTCGATATCATTTCAATAGGGACTTAGTTGAAGAAGGGGAAATCATTCTAGAATTTGTACCCATGGCCTACCAATGGGCGGATATTTTCATAAAACCCTTAGGGGGAGTTTCGCGGTCTAGTTAGTGTTTCTTTGTTTTGAATAAAATTCTGCCTCAACAGAATGGTACTTGGTTTGGTCGGTTAGTATTCGAGTGTGTTTTGGTTTTGAATAAAATTCTGTCTCAACAGAATGGTAGTTTGTTTGGTTAGTGTTCGAATGTTGTGTGTGGTTCGCTTGAGTAAAGCATAGTAATGGTTCTGTAATTCGATAATACCTCTTTGATGAGTTGGAATCAAAACCCTGTTGAGATGAAGCCAGTCAATGCCTTGATGGACGGAAGAAAATCAAGGGAAAGGAAGATCAGAATCAAGCAACAGAGAATATCGCATACAAGACGAAGAGGAAGGTTTTTCAATTGATAGAGAAGTTTCCAAGTTTGTGGCCAACGGCTTGCGTGTGATAAGAAGATTTGGAAGGCGTTCAAAATACTTAAAGTTGCCATCTTGAGGACCAACGGCTAATTACAAGTCAATATAAAATGTGATGCTGAAGAAGAAGTGAGTTTTTTTTCGAGCAATCAAGATTGACAGAAAGCTAAGGGAATTGCTAGTGGTCTTGATAGAAAAGTGGGTCTAGCATTTGATTGGGGAAATCAGGGATAGAAAAACGTTCGGTAGAACTTGTGTAGCTGGATAGTTGTGTGATCGAGTGGGTAGAGAGGTTTCTGTTTAGTCATCCAGGATTGGATCGGCTGAACTACTCAGAAGTGTAACTCAAATTCAAACTATTAGAGATCGTAGCTATAGTGGATCGTCGGAAATCATGAAGCAGTGATTCTCCAATCGTGGACTAGTCGGTTGTGCTTTTTGGCCTACCGGAAACCACGTAAAAATCGAGCGTGTCAACTCAATTCTCTGTTATCTCTATTGCTTTCACGTAGTCTCTATTTTTGCCAAGTTTAGGTGCAGGGGAGGTTGTCGTCACTAGGAAGAAGAAAGGGGTGTGGGCTGTGATCAAAACAACCAAGTTGTCAGGCCCAGTGAATCCTGTGGATTCGGGAACCAAGTTCAGCTGAATTGGGCTGACTCTAAAAGCCCAAAATTGAACTCATCTTTGGCCTGAGAAATGACAGAACGACTGCGTTTTGAATGACCTGTTCTCCTTCCCTCGACTTTCTTGTATCATATTCCTTGTCTGCTTTGTAATTTTACATTTCATTTCCCTAACTACATTTCTAGGGTTTGTTAGTTTTAATCGTGCCAGGAACTTAAAGTAAGAAAAGTTGCGGAGGAATCTCGCGCTCGATTCCGTTAACAAACCCACCCAGTTCGTCCATTGCCCATCTCTAATGGATGCTGAGTTTGGAAACATCTCGTTTCTCTCTATCTATCTTCCTTGGTGCGGTTAATGTTGCCTGTCATTGTGGCCTTGGTCGGTGGTGACGATTTTAGTTATTGCCATGACTATGCTGTGAATGTCTTGAGCGCTTTTAGACGAGTAGTCTCAATGGAATCTCCAGGTGGGAATTATATCAATTTTTTTTTATTGTAAGTACTATTTAAAAGATTTTACAACATGAAATCTTCAGGTTGAATACCAACCAAAGAATCACTAGTTTGGAGAATATGAGTTTAAATCTATAGATTGTCAACAATTAAAGATTCTAACTCTTCGGATTGTTGAAAATAGATTTTAAAATGTTTATTGTTTGATAACTGTGATTGTTTTTTTTTGGGTGAGAAACAGAGCGCAGAGGGGCGCCTTAACCCTTAACTATTAACCAAACGGGGGGTTTGAATCCCCAAAGTGTCAAAGTACAACCAGTTGCTCAACATGGAACTCGGGTTTTTGAAAACATGGACCCCTGCCGGTAAAGCATGACCAACGGAGGCAAGGTAATCAGCAACGACATTGCCCTCGCGAAAAATGTGGCCGACATGCACCTCCCACTCCCTAGCCAGTAGATCACGAATAGCGGACACCTGAACGTAATGCGGATGGCCTGGAGTTGCTTCCTGTAAAAGTTGGACCGCCATAGCTGAATCGGTCTGCACCAACACTTTCTGGCAGCCCTCTTCCCATGCAAGCTGCAGACCAATAACAATCCCTACCATTTCCGTATGAGTAATAGACCCACCAACCAAGTTTGTCGAGAATGCCTTCACGAAGCGACCTTCATCATTTCTTATCACTCCGCCCGCAGCCGTAATCACCTGCCCTCCGGTCACCGAGCCATCTGTGTTGAGGCAGAACCAACCACTCAGCGACCTCTTCCATCCGATCAGTTCCATGTTGCGAGCAAGACCTGCACCCAAAACCTTCCTCGCCATTACCCCCGCCTGCTCGATTTGTCGCCGCAGAGCCCTGACTTGATTCAAAAGCTGCTGTGTAGAGGCCAACTGCTTTTCAAAGACCCAGTTGTTTCTGTTCTTCCAAAGATTCCAGCATGTAACTTCAAACAGAGGTGAATCAATAATTTTTCTCTGGCCCGACAAGTAGTGCATAACCCAATGATCAATACTTGTGTTAAAGAACACATCAGGTTCATCTGAGAGAACTTCCGCCCAAACAGCCCGTGCGTAAGAACATTCTCGGAGTACATGGCTGTTCGTTTCCGGTCTGCCGCCGCAAACAGTGCAGCCGTCCGCAGTAGCAAAGTGTCGCCAACGTCTCTCGGCGTTGCTGAGTAATCTGTTATGCAGCACGAGCCAAAAGAATGGCTTCACCCGCTGAGGCCCATCGACTTTCCAAGCAGCCTTCCAAGCTGGGTGTTGCCAGCTCTCCTCCTCCCCTTCCGCAGTCAATTCGTAGGCGGATAAGACCGTAAAGCGCACTGAAGACGAGAGCCGCCAGCAGGGTGTGTCCGCCTCGCTTGCATGAGGTACTGGGTGGAGTTGAAGCTGCATGACAACCGCTTCGGGAAGATACAGTCGGGCATAGTCTAGATTCCAGTTCCCGTTCAAAACCATCTCGACAACCTTAACGTTAGCCGCTTCCGGAGGTAAGTTCTCGGCTAGCTCGCCCAGAGGAGGGCCATCTTGTAGCCAAACATCTTCCCAGAATCTTGTCCCCATCCCATTCTTCACATTCCACATAATCCCTTTCGGTAATACATGGAGGATTCGTAGAATTCCCCGCCAAAGATTCGACATTCTACCTGCAGTACGCGGTATCCAGCCCCCTTCTGTGCAGCGTAAGTACTTAGCATTAATTACTCTCGCCCACAGACTATCTGGCTCTGTCAATAATCTCCAAGCAATCTTCATCATGAAGGCCTCATTCATTCGGGTGGCATTTCAGAGTCCCAATCCCCCTTCCGTCTTTGGCCTGCACACCGTATCCCAGTCCACCAGGTGTATCTTCCTCCACTGCTCTGAACTTCCCCAGACAAAATTAAAAACTTTGTTGATAGATATATTTAATATGATAAATAAATAAAAGAAAGAGAAAAAGTAGGAAAAAAAAATCTCACGAATCAAGAAATAGAATCTCTCTAATTATGAGAGATTTTATATCCGAAGATTTTAGAGATTTGAAATCTCTAATGCTAAAATTCATAATACAAAAAGTAACAAAAAAAAAAAAACTTTTTACAAAATCTACGGATTCAATGAATCCATTCCCTAAATCTCGTTTCTAAGATCAAACTCTTCTAATGACACTTTTCAATATGTATTTGAAATGGTGCTAAAAGGTTAAAGTGTGCATCTGTATTTCAGCATTCGTAAAAACTGCATCGTAGTCACAAGTCACAACCTCTAAATTGAAAGAACAAGATGATAGGTTCAGCGGAAAGCTGCAGACTAAAACGCAGAAGAGCTAATACCAAAGGTTGTACCATTGCACATGTTGAAAGACAATAGGCTATTCTGCTACATTGCATTGTAACGAATATAACCAAAAAAAGCCGTAAAATTGAGGTAGTATTTCTTTCATTGAAGCAAGCAATCTCTCATAAAACAAGCAAAGCAGAACAGCAACTAACCATCTGCAGGCTCAAGTAAGAGACGTAGACCCATACAATTTACATGATCATTCTTAACTCCATCTTAGTTAGAAAAACTTTCTCAATGACACAGCACTGGGGTGAATTCAGATCAGCAACTCACACATTTGTGTTGCCACTAGGCACAGGGGCAGAGTCTCTGGGTATGAGGATGAGACCCGTCACATGAGAGCATAGACTGTGGCTTCGTGTACAAGCAAGTCCCGGGATTCAGATCTTTCGGAGCATCATCAACAACCTCAGCAGGCTGATCACTCCCTACGCTAGCCAAACACCCTCCTTCACAGCTCATGTACTTCTTTATAATCTCACACTGATTGAGCACCAGAAGCTTGTTCACAATACACGACTGCCCTTTCGACCTGCAGACCAAATCACACGACTCGCCTTGCCCACCAATCACTACATTAACCCCAACCAGCCTTGCTTCTTGTTGCCTATGATCATCCCCAGATTGATTCGAAGGCAGAGAGAAGCAGTGGTGGAACTCGCTGATATAAGCATTCTCATGAACCATGCTGCCAGAGTTATGGCGGCACCTCCCTGAACAGAAATCGAATATGCTCGGATAAGTCCCTGAAGTTGCAGTCTTGGCTATCTTCACCTTCATTACTTCGTCAGCAAGTGTTGTGGAAGGATTCAGGCAGCAAGAAACGCAATATTCATAGGAATTGCAACATCGCGAGAGAAGATTGCATCCTTTACAGGGGAACCTCTCTCCTTTCACGGGGCAACATCGAAATCGGGGATCAAGCGATAGAGCATCGCATACACGACCATTTTCGTCTGAAAGCAGATACCTTCCTTGAACAGTAGTTCTACAAAGCTGATTTCTCAGGAAGCCGATGTCTTTCCTTATGGCTGAAACTCTGGGTAGGAGATGGAGAACCAGTAATTGAAGCAGCAAGCACCAGAAAATCAATCCACGTATATACATCCCAGATGGGTTTCAAACATTCAATGTGTTGGCGCGATTAGAGAGAAAGCGAAAGTTTATCAGCTAAGCCAGACAATTCATCGAACAGGTTGAAGGCAGTCTAGGAAACGATCTAAGGGGCTACGAAGTTACTTCATACGACGAGCTTCCGATTTAATCCAAGGTTGGTAGGATTGAGAGGACTCGATTTCTTCCGGGTCATCTGAGATATTAACATCAGAATAGAAAACAATGGGCGATGAAGAAAGATGAACACTAACCCAATAGATCACGACCAGATCAGCTTCAAGTTTCAAACTTCACGCCACGTTGGAAAAAAAGCATGATGCCCGGAAATGAATCAGTACATTAAACTTCCAAGCTTCAAGGAATAGAGGTATCTCCGCATACAACCAGAACTTCAACTTTGACGACGGAATATTAAACCGCCGGCGAGGGAGGATTGAGGAAGACCGAAGAAGGAAAGAAGTCAGGCGAGGCGGAGTTTGTTCTATTGTTTTCTTCGTAAAGAACAGGCTAAGCAATAATCATGGCTTTGGAGGCCCAACTTCACAGTGGCCTAGTCTTCTTGGTTTATAATCGTAAATGGGCTCAGTCCATAAAGAAAGATCCACGAAAATAAGGTTCCACACATAGATTCGAGTGAAGCCGATTTTCTTATATTCATATCTCGATCCACCATTTTAAAATCATAATTATTTCCAAACTGAGTTAGGTCGGATGTAAAATGACGTACCAAAACTTACACGTATGTTTTTTTAGGATAACTCATCAACACCGTCATCGAATAATCATATATAAAGTTCTCGATGTAAAGTTAAATTTTACTTAGAATGTCATTCTTACTTCTAAGTTTTGTTAATACAGTGAGGAAAAATGAGTAAGGAATTTGGACTAAGAGATAATTAGAATAACGAAGCGATATGGATGACCAAAATTTTAAAGCTTGCGAGTCTAAACCATAGTTGTAGCACATATTGAGCGGGTTCCATAAGGATACTTAAAAATTAAAATACCAAACCTATATCCTCTTTTCTCGGGTTCGGGAAAAACCCACCGAAACATAGTATCTATTAGATTTTCCAAATCAAATCGATTCGAATTAGGTTGAATACATAGTTCTCTACCAGCCAAGCACAACATTAGACTCGGAACCGTTACTTGTTGGCTTGAGGTAGGTAAATAAACGGCTAAATTGCAAGTTTGGTCACTCGAATTGCTACAAAATTTCACGTTTGGTCACTCGAATTCGTTTATTCCATTCGTAGTCACTTAAATTAGTTGAATAGTCCAAGTTCGGTCACTTTCCGTTAACCTCCGTCAGACTCCGTTAGTGCCGTCAGTTAACTACTGACGTGGCTAACAGAGATGTCTAGTTACCCAATTTTAACCCAAGAAAAAACAGAAATTGACCCGCCACGTCAGAAAAACATGCCACCTCATATAAACACAATCCAACCCACCCAACCTAAAAAAAAAACCATTAACCCACCCAGAAATCGAACCCGTGACCCATCCACCCTTCTTCTTCTTCCTCTATACCCTGTTCCGCCGCCGCCGGGAGATATCCCCTCGGTCTCCCTGCTGCAGCCCCCGCCGCCGGATCCAGATTCGCGAGGAAGAAGAAAGTGAGAAGCTGGCGCCCCTTGGAACTCTCTTTCCCCTTCTAATCACTCTGCTGGCGACTTCGCCATGGATGCCGGCCACCAGGAAGCCTTCTATATTATCCTTAATGCTGGTATTTGTGATTTTATTGCTTGCCAACTCTCTCCTCTAGCTTCCGCAACTAATTGTTTATGTTTCACTGTTGGAATCCGCCATTTTATCCTTTTGCTGGGCATTCAAATTTGCCAAAATCTATCGTTCAAGTGCCCGTAGCTGTAAGTAGATTGGGTGAACTGGCCATTTTGAGCTCTCTGTGTTGTCATACAGGAATTCAAGCTGAATTGATTCTTGGAACCATTGCAAGGAGAGCAAATGAGAACAACAGCAACTCCAATGGGGATTATTTGGAAGATAGGGTTAGTTTTAGCCAAGACAAGCTCTTGGACTCTCACAGTAAAGGTGTTATGATGGCTTGGGAGAAACCTCTGATGGAGGCACACGCCAAGGACCATGGCGAAGAACCGGCTTTTTTGGTTCCTCCTTCTCATTTTCTTTTTCCTCGCGAATCTGGATCCGGCGGCGGGGGCTGCAGCAGGGAGATCGAGGGGATATCCCTCTGGCGGCGGCGGAAGCAGGGTATAGAGGAGGAAGAAGAAGGGTGGATGGGTCACGGGTTCGATTTTTGGGTGGGTTAATGGTTTTTTGTAGGTTGGGTGGGTTGGGTTGTGTTTATATGAGGTGACATGTTTTTCTGACGTGGCGGGTCAATTTCTGTTTTTTCTTGGGTTAAAATTGGGTGACTAGGCATCTCTGTTAGCCACGTCAGCAGTTAACTGACGGCACTAACGGAGTCTGACGGAAGTTAACGGAAAGTGACCGAACTTGGACTATTCAACTAATTTAAGTGACTACGAATGGAATAAACGAATTCGAGTGACCAAACGTGAAATTTTGTAGCAATTCGAGTGACCAAACTTGCAATTTAGCCGTAAATAAACAGAAAAGAATTATGCTCCACTAAGTTACATGATGGTGTAGAAAGCAGGCAACATTCTGCACTAAGCCTTCACTCCGCTAGCCATAGGTCAGCCTAAACCGCTCGGCCAAGTAATCCCAACTCCGTATAGCAGGAAACCTGCAAATGCAGTTTCAAGACCACCTTCAAGAGTATGATCCATGTACAAAAACTCATGGAATCACGATGGCAACAACATTTGATCATTCAATGCCATATATCGATCCTAACATCCACGAGCAAATAGGATAAAAGAACGGATTTGAAGAGTACCTGGGAGGCCACGACTCACTGCAACAACTATCCAAACACTGGACAATGCAATCTGGATTAGGATCTAAGAAGAACGCCATCTGCCATATGATAACTGAAACACGTGAAGAGCATGGCAGCAATACCTTGACAGGATAGAAAATTCTGACCATAGAAACTTGCAGCACAAATTGGAACAAAGACAAATCGAAACACAGGCTATGGCTTATTTTAAGTAAACACAAGCTGTCAAACTTACAGAGTAGCGTTCTTGTCCAGTTGGCATCACTCGATGCAGGGTGGACCTGCCAATATTTAGCCAAATATGTTGTTATAAAGGACTACCAGAGAGATCACTAAATAGTAGGGGGGAAGCGAAAAGGAGGAGGATTATTTATTGTTTCACATAAAATCATGCACGCTTTAATATTAATGAACAAGGAGGGTGGAAATATCGCCCTTTCGAGTTTACGGGAAAGGGAAAAAAGAAATTTACCGGAACAAGCAATTTGTCCACCTCTCCATCATGTCTCCAATGTTGACGATGAAGCATCTGATTATAGATCCATGAACAAAATGATAAGAGTATATCTCAATCAAGGAAGGAGGATAGCTCCCCAAAATGAAAAGGACGAATGCAAGCACATTTTAGAGGGAAACCAGAGGTGTCAGATTAGGCTTGAACTAAAGCAGATGACTGCCAGCATTCAACTTAAATTACTTACTTGTCATGACACTTCTTATTTTCATATAGAAGGTAATGGAGATGCTAAAACAGACATTATTCAACCTAAATACTACACCTTTCAAAATACAGAAGCATTTAAATAAGGGTGAACTCACCCATTTACATGTGGTACGTCTTCCCAGACCCTAGGTTCTCTCGACTTCACCCTACAAACCTGCTAACAGGCAGAGCCCTGTAAGATGGTTATGAGCATTCAAAATTATGAAAATCACAACATTATTTAACCATCACTGCAGTTCATGATTCAGCAGTAATGGTCAGAATCAACTTGACGCATCAATTAACACATGCCTGAAGTCCTGGTACACCATCAGTTATGAGTAAAGTGGTCATTCCATAGTCTGAATGTGCAGAAGCACCATATATTAGTTCTTCATCAGAAGAACCCAGTTCACCTGACATTAGATTAATGAACAAATTACAAGGATAAGCTTCTCTTTCGGCCTTTTAAGTTCTATTCTTCTCGTTTCATAAAAGTCGAAGGACCAAGAAAGCTTATAGACATGCAATCAAGAAAGTACACTTATGAAAAAGATAATTCAATCATCCCATGTAAGAATACAACTGAATGATAAGTTTCTACCAGGATAATGTATAAGACGAAGAAAGGCTTCCGGCTCATTCAGGGCTCCAACCTTGTCAAAGTAATCTTCATCCAAATTCAAAGCCAGAGCAATCAAGGAGATTAGTCTTCTTCCAGCGGACCTGGGGCAATAAATCAGCAGCAGGAAATTACTTACACCTTCCAGTCCAAAACAATAGTTGCAAGCATGAAAATATTCCAAAAAGATAATGAGCCCACAATAGTATCAAGTAAATCACATCATTAAACAGCCATTTCAAGCAAGAAGTAAGATCAAGTGCCGTATTACTTATCAAAGCAAGGTTAAATAAGGAAAGAGGTAGCTATAATTAGCAGACATAACTTACATGACCTTATCATGATAAGACTCCATTGTCGACCTCCATGAAGGAAGAGCTTCTGAAATTTCCTCATCCAAAGAACAAGGGCAGTAATGCACGGCTCAATTCAAAAGTCATAGCGGAAACGTTGGAATATGATAATAGTACCTGGAGAAGGCCACTGGTTTAGCTCAGCTATGTTGCCAGAACCACGTACAGGACCAACGTAGAAGCTTTCCTTCGAGTCACCTGATTCAGAACAGGCCTAACACAACTCATAAAGCAGCAACGATGGCGGAATTAACCGCCTCAACAATACTTAAAGCAAGACATGCGAATATGAACAAGAACCTTTGGAACTGGAATCCGGATTGAGATTCTCGGCGTACAAAGGAGTGTAGCCTCTGTGTTCCTTACGAGGCAGCTTCATTTTCTCATCCAGCGGAAGCGAGAAGAATTTGCGGCTCTCCTCGAACGCTCTCTTGATGAGCTCTTCTTCCACTCCGTGATTCGCGAGGTAGAAGAAACCGTAGTCAACGCATGCCTGAGAAGAAGAAAATCAGGGAGACGGAGAGAGTGGTTACAGTGGAGTGAAAAGCACGACTCGAAACCTGACGAATTGAGTTGGCAGTGGATAAGCGATCGGGAGAAGAGAGGTCTATGACCGGGAGCTTCGCGGTGGATACTGTCATCTTCTACCGGTGGCCGTCGATTTTACAGAAAGTTGCGCCGGTGAAGCTTTCGGCTGTTACCGCTGGTGGCGGGATCCTACGTTCCGGAATTGCCGCCGGAGGAAGAGGGAGTGTGCGCTCAAGTTCGTTCGATAGCAATCGGTTTCTTTCTTGCCTGAATTGGACTCCGGGCGACTGATAAAGTTGACTGGAGGAATGGTCAGCATTGATTCGGTTTGGTCCACCGGTTCAATCAAGTTTTTTTTTCTTTTTTTTTTAACAAGTTCTTTTGCATTTGAAGATCCTGAACTATCTAACACCCATTCTGTCTTGACTCTTGACCGTTGACCGGTTCAATATCCATTGGCACAGACCGCATTGAAATTGAAGGGAAGAGAACAAAACTGAACTGAAAAACTATTATATAAATATTGAAATATGGATATTATTGTCATTACCATATTAGATATTCATTAGGGAGTTATATGTAATCCCAATTCTTATATTTGATAGCTATTTTATGTTTCATTATCTCTTATTGATATAAGTATGTAGTGGTTATTAAGGTGTGCCTATAAATAGAGCACATCATTGTATCAAAAGTGAATAATGAATAAGAAATGTCTCTCCCCCCTCTCTTCTTTGGCATCTTTCCCCTCTAATCTTCTCTTGTAGTTATTTATAGTTCTCATTAGTTTCTTAACACGTTATCAACACGAAACTCTGCTATCATCATGGTTGGTCATTGTCTCTCTACACAAATTAGTATATTGGTGTAAGATTACAATATGATCAAGTTATGCAAATCTTCATCTCCTTTCATATCTTATTGTATTATTTGTGTTGAGATTATCTCGTTCCAATATATTAAGATGGATGCTACTCTTTTCTCGTAGTAGACCATCCATTGATATTTTTTCACGTACATATATTTGGATTAAAATTTTGGGTTGTGTGATTTTCATTTATATTATTATGTGTTTTTACAACACATATATCGATTCCTTAAAATTAAATTTGTGTTTTGACATTATCGCAAATTAAAATTTGCTCATTTAGTAGCAATAACAAGAAAAGTAATATAAGTGATGAGTTGATATCTTAGTTTTTCGTGTTATCCTATTCTTATCGTTTCTACATTAATATGTAGAAAATGAAAGTTTCAAGAGCCCGTATATTCCCCAGAAGTGGAAATTGAAGAATCCAAGGGCAAAGAAAGAAGTGGACATGGTAACAAGAATATTGGTTATGTATGTTATCATAGTAATGGAAAAATGCGTTTGTCTCGTACCCGTTGTACGCAAAAGACCTTATTCTACCAAGAATCAAAGGGGAAATCAAATTCATATACGCTCATGCAATATCAATATTATGGAAAATATTTTTTGTATTATAAGTTGGTATATTCTCCATTAAAGATGAAAATGATATTGCACTTGAGAAATTTTCATTCTAAGAAGTGATGAAACAATCTATTGCCCGAAGTGAATGGAGCTATAAACATAATTATATATATATTTAAATGTATTGTTTGGATCTTTTCACCAAAAGTGAGAATAGAGGAGAAAAAGAAGAATTATAAATAAGGATGACACAACAATTGCATTATCAAAGTCATGATAACATAATGTACATATGTATAATGATAACATATATCGTTATTGTTATCAATGTTGAAGGGCATATATAAATTTAAAATCACCTAGTTAGTGATAGTATTGTTCCAAATAAAGCTTATTTAATTATCACAATTATAGTATTATGATTCTTATTTTCTTTTATGTTTTATTGTGACGTTATTTTTTCATGCATAATTTCATTTGATAGACAAGTAACTTGATAAATTCATAATTTTTGTCTTAAGTTTGAAATATTCTTATTTATTATTTTTAGTATGTTTTTATAAAGTATGAGTGTTAGAAAAATTTCATATAAACTATATGGTAGAGTACATAAATAAGAAAAAGCTTATGAAGAGCTTATGTTTAGTTACTTGAAGTAACTAAATTATGTACTTGTGATAACAATTTGTAATGATATTCACTATGAATATGTGTTTACTAAGAATGCATCAAATCATAAGTCATCGGAAGGGCGAAACATGGTAAAGCTCTAAAAGAGCTAATGTTTTGTGGCCTAAAGGAACCAAACTATCTAGTGATGATGCATTACCCAATTAAAAGGATATTCGCAAAAAGGAATATCTTATCAAGAAAATAGTGAAACTAGTATTTGCATCACAAATATGTACTACATGTATATTAGTACTATTAGTAAAAATAAAAGTGTAAACCAGAAGTTTACAAGATTTGATAACTTGATAATTTGGTTGGCCCGGTTAGACCATCCCGGATCTTGATGTGAAAAAAAATTCTTCGAGAATTCATGAGAACACATACGAGAAGTCAAAGGATTCTTCAAGAGTTATTATGGCATGCTTGTTCTCAAGGAAAATAGAACAATTAATCATCGCTTGTAAAAGAGTTGGCAAATCTCTTGAGATTTTATGGACGTGTATGCAGAACAATTCTTCAGCATGTGGATCATTTGTGAATTTTATGGGTTGATGCATCAAATGGATGATCACGTGTATTTTATCTAATTGCAACCCGATGTTTGCGAGATTGGTTGTCTCACTATAGATACATTTAGATGGTTATCCAATCAAACATCACTTTGCTTATGACAACAAGCTAAGCCTTCCGGTCTCTTGTCGAGAACATGCTAGCTGGCAAGTGATAGTATTGGTTCGCATCTAACCATCAAGTTATCATAAGTTTCCCACCTTTTACAAATGGTTTTGGTCTGAAACCTAACATTTTCCATATGAGAATATCAGGGTGTGCAACATACATCCCAATTGCTCCACCACAGTATCTTAAGTTGATTCTCATTGTAGATTGAGAATTTGTGTTGGGTATGAATCCCAAATGGGAAATTTGTTTGCGAAATTGTTGTTTTAATGGATTACTTTTCCAACATTAAGAGGGAGAGATAAAACAGCTAGACAAAGAGATGAATTGGAATGAGTTATCATTTATCTAGTTTTGATCCTCAAAGTAAGAAACATGAACCTGAAGTTCATAAGATGAATTATCATTACCAACTATCAAATGTCGTTACTGACCATACAAAGTGACCAAGTCACATATACTAGCTGTGAATGCTCCAACTAAATTTGATATTCTTGTTGGATACTCTAATATAAAAAAATAAGTTTGAAAGAGCGCATGAAGCGTGATAGACCAATCGGTTCCAATGATTAACATCCTCGAGAAAGAAAAGGAGCTGTAATTAGAATGGTCAACTCGAGGACATGAAAACTCTAGAAGAGTAACCAAGAATTAAGTAAGATTTTAGTTTCAGAAGAATACATGTGTATGGAAGTTGTGAAAGTGAAGAGATCTAAAAAACATATTGGACTACAATACTGGAACCGTAATGAAGTCAATGTCGACGAATTTTGTTGTACTTCAGTACTGAATATGATATATACAATTGAGGACAAGAGTAAAACTCTATTGCTTCATGCAAATGATGATGTTATTAGCCGATATAGAAAGAAATCATGAAACTTGCTCAAGGAGCATAATGTTTAAGGACTATAAGTCCTTACACCTGAAAAGGTAAAACTGGCGAGCTATAAACAAATTCGTGTGCTATTGGAAAATATGAAATTGTGATAGATATATCATAATGTTTTGCAATGGGTTTCTCGAAGAGACCTATCATTGTTTGAAGGAGTTTATGCTCCCCTGTGGTGGATGCAACTACTTTTTCAAATCAATGTTTAAATCTATGTTTGAAAATTGTTGTGATAGCGTATTTGTTTGAATTCCCTGAAGATGTTATATATATTTGAAACTCCTAGAAGGATTAATTTACCTGAAGTAGAGAAGTAAAGTTCACGAGAACTGATAACGATGTAATTGCACATATTTTCACCCCTAGTTCTTATCCGTTTGAGGGGCATAGTCGTGTATTTTTGGCCTATTTTACGCCGGGTTGTGCTACTTTGTCATATTTCAGGTCCCAGATGTCGAAGGAAAGGCTAAACACGAGTTTCGGGGCATTCGGAAGTCATTCGGTCGAGCTGGAGCCAAAACACGGGCACGCCTAAATCAAAGCACGGCCGTGTTCCTGGACCGTGTTTTTACTGCCAAGGCTTGATCCAAGACTATCAAACACTAGCTCAAAACACGAGCGGGACTGGAGCAAAACACGGCCGTGTCCATCATCAAGCACGCCCGTGTTTTCCCAAAGTAGCGGCCGTGTTTTAACACGTGGCCAGGGCACGGGCGGGCTGGAGCAAAACACGGCCGTGCCCTCGACCTTGTTTTGCCCAGTGATGCCCTTTTAGGCAGATTTCAGCCAAAAGAGAAGGGGATTCGAGTTTTAGAGAGACAGAGCGATTCCTAGAGAGAGAAAGCGATGAACAAGAGTTCCCAAGTGCCCTAGATTGCTCTTCATCACCATTGGAGCTTGGCTTGAGCTTGGAGGAGTGCCGATCGACGCCCAGGAGCGGAAATCCATCCTTCACAGTATGGTTTCCGCATCTGAATCTGCTTTTGCTTCTTTCTCCATGGAGTAGTTCTTCCATTCATCTGGGTATGGGAAACCCTAGATTTGTATGTTAGGTTTGATTGTATGAACCCAAGTACAGATTCTATGATTTGATTATATTCAATTGAGGTTTGAATGATTGAATGGCATGAATCCTGATCAAATTCCTGTTGTTTCTGCTTTAACCTAGAAAGAGAATATTTGCATAGGTTGATAGAGCACCCTTAATTGAAGGTAGTGAACTGGTGACTTCAGTCGAGGAGCCAATTCACTATTCTGTACCGAATTTACTTCGGTAGTGGAGGTTTTGTTTGTTAGGGCCTCAATCTGTTTACTCCGGTGGAGGTTAGTCGCCCGCTAGACACTCAGATTGAGAGGGTCTGGAGACCTTTAGTCGAGACTTCAGACTGTTTAAGAACCTTCCGCAGTATAACTATCATAGACATTGAACTTGGTAAATTGCAATCCGGCTTAACTGCAGTCTAGGGGGAACCATATCCGGGTGACCTCTCTCGACTTGAAACAAACGTTTAACTTGCTTTGTGTTTTTGTTTGTTTGAACCTGCACTTAAGTTTTATTGCTAGATAATAAGAATTCACTGAGTAGTCATCGCATCTAGGACCCGGGTTGACATTAAAACCCAAACCCGCTATACTACGCTTTAGGAAGTGGTTTCACTTGGCCATTTTCTAGAGTGACAGTAGGAGTGAGTCAAGTTTTTGGCGCCGTTGCCGGGGACGGCTAGGTTGTTGAAGAAAAATGATTTCTGTTACTTTAGCATTTTCGTTTTCACATTGACTGTTTGTTCTTTCCCTCTTGTGCCTTCACGG